GACATCGAATACTATATGAGACCTCATCTGATCTGAAATATATTTCAGTTTTAAATATCTTTTTTTTTTCTTTTTTTTTTTTAAGCGTTTCACCCCAAGCAAGGCGGGAAACCACTAGGATGCAAGGGGTTACAGAAAATTTGGAGCAAGATCAGATAGGAGTGATTAGAAGGAAGGATGAGCAGAAGGTTAGTGGATAGATCAAGGCAACTGGAGATGTCGATTGACATTACATTTGAATAGCTGGAGATTATAGCTCTCAGGAAAACTAGAATAGGGAAGGGAGTTCCACAGGCGAGAGGTGCGGGACATGAAGCTATTGGAGTAGAAGAGACGGCTACATTTAGGAGTTTCGACAGTGAAGGAGTGAGAGCGGGATGCCAGCCTCGTCGGGCGCTTGAACTCATGGGTTGATGAACTGTAAAATTGAAATCAATCAATCATGAATGAATGACATGGCAGTTGACGAGGATAAACAAATTTCCCTGTTTAAGTGCGCGTGTCGATTTTATGAAAGTGGGAAGAAGAAGAAGAAGAAGAAGAAGAAGAAGAAGAAGAAGAGGAAGAAAAAGAAGAAGAAGAAGAAGAAGAAACGTAAAAATAGTAGATGGAAAGTTTTTACTTATGTTACAGAAAGTTAAAAAAAAAGATAATTACAACATTTTACGGCTTATATTATGAAAAAAAACAAAAAACAAAAACACAAAAAAAATAAAAATCCTTCGTAAAAGCGAACGCCACGTAAATTCGCAAGTTGGATTTTTAGGCAGATTAAAAATATTTTATTATCGTGAAGTTGTTTGGTGTATCCTTAATAATAGTTTGATTATTAAAAGGAAAACGTATTTTGGTTTTAGTCGTTTGTGAATGTTATGAATGAAGGTATTACTGTCGGAAATTGTGTAGAATTTCATTGAATGTATTCCAAATTGTAAATAAGTAATTATTGTGAATGAAATCAGAAATCATAACGGTTAGAGTTTTGAATTTTATGAATGAATTCATAGTTTGATGCATTCTGGGCAAGTATGATAGTGATGGGGTTTGGTTGAATTTATGGATGTGTGTGTGGGGGGGTGCTATATAAGCAACCGTTCGGGAGATGAGTTGGGCAGTATCTCAGGTATCACAAACGAGAGTATAAGGTCCTCATCCGGATGAGGGCGCCGTGTTTCGCACCATATACCGACCGAAAGTAATTGAAGTATTAAGAGTGAAATAAAATGTAATGTTAAATATGTGAGGTTTAAGTTTTGCGTTATTCATTAATTTGTATGTATTATCATTTTGGAGACACACACACACTTCATTATAATTCAAACATTTATAATAATAATAATAATAATAATAATAATAAAGTCGGCTAGGTAGAAATGCTAACAAAGCATGGGATATGTTACATACCTTCTCCCCAATTCTGAAATGGAAAACTAGTGGATTTTACAAGAGCTGTCTTTACTCACAAATTCGGCATATCATGATGCAAGATGCTGTGTCTACTTATAGGTCCTGAGGTACATCTTGTCTCGTGTCTCTATACAGACCGGGTTTCATTGATTGGTTGTTAAGGATCACCTGATTGTCAGGTTATATGAAGGGTGTACAAACAGGCTTTAAGATATTCAAAATGGTCGGTTGCTTCTCGGACAGACCTCGTATTCAACGAGTACTTTTTCTTATTTACATATTAATCATTGCTTTTCGATGTTTCAGTTAGTTTGGGACTTTTCTCAGTCGGTCTATTTGTTGCATGCCACCAATATAGTGAAGTGTAGAATTCTCGAATCTAGACTTGGGCCTTGATGAACGAGCTTCAGTCCTTCGGACAAAAAATGGTAGCAAATATACACTTATCATAACGCGGCGATTTAGATCAATATTGGTCTCTCTTCTCTTGTTTGTATAACACCTCATATATATATATATATATATATATATTCGTCATGAAAACACTCCAATGAGTGCACAGGATCGCCTCGCCAGTGATGTTAAGACTTGGGGTCATGACAAGTTTCGAGTCTTGCAACATCATACTTGTTCGCCTCAGAGAACTTACCGAAAAAGTACTATTCCGACAGGCGATCCTGGATTAAAAAAATTCGCCAAGCACGCAATAAATGGGCACATTAAGTAACTGCCACTGCTGATCTTGAAATTACAAGCAACCAATCAGTAACGACTTACTTCACTTCCTCCTCAGCAAAGACGACACAAAAAAGAATAGACAGCATGCTCGTTTTTTTTTTTCATCTTAGGTCCTCCACGCGGAAAGACCCACATTCTCAAGGCACAATTTGACATAACAGGTAAGTAATTGCAAGAAAAGTTTCCTTTCATATGAAGCGTTGCTTAACAAATAAAAAAAAATGGAACACATTCGCTGGTCTTAGGAATTATATGTATATATATACTACCCATATTTATCACCCACAAACATACTTACGGGGCTGTTGATACTTATGTTATACTTATTATATATATATATTTACTTATGTTATACTTATTATATGTATATATATATACTACCCATATTTATCACCCACAAACATACTTACGGGGGTGCTGATACTTATACTTATACACCCATACTAATATATACACTTTCACACATCATACACACTCCCGAAGAACTAATACATTTAACACAAACATATTTCCTTTCGAGGAACCAATAAAACTGTCAAAATGATCAAGGGAATTCAGAGTAGCATGAATCTATCCAGCCTCTATCTAAAAAAAAACAACTTAAAAGAGGCCGTTTGACCAACACAAGGTCTGACCAAAATTAACGATAAAAAAACAAAAAACAAATGAAAACAACAGATAAAGTTCATTTTATTCAGAAAGTCATTCATTCCTGTAGTTCACTGCTACTAACAAGCAGATTTTTTTTCCTCCTTATGATGGCCATGCTGGTCGAAACTAATCGAAGAATCTAATTGAAATAATAAAACAAAAGAATAATATACAATCCAGTGTGTCTGAAAATTTTAATTTTTTATTTTCTCAATATTTTTTATTGTTTAATATATATATATATATATATATATATATATATATATATATATATATATATACATCTCATAATAATTCATTCTCAACCTAGAAACCTCAACAGAATGCAGAAAAGCAGGTCGATCGTTTCGTCATATTTCTGAACTGATCAGCAGTGCGTATCCACTACTGAGAATCATATATATATATATATATATATATATATAGTTGTATATTTAGGCAGCAATCCTTCCTTTATGCATGTTTCATTAAAAACGACAGACAATGTACTACGGTTAAGCTTTTTATTTAATTTTTTTGTGTTCTACTCTTCCTCAAAGAACTTAATAACGTTAAACAAACACTAATCAACAACGGCTTCCCTAACTACCTTATAGACCACCAAATTAGACTATTCCTCCCCAAAGCAAGTAATAACGATAGCGAACACACAGCGAAAAATCACATACACATTTATTACAAAAACTAAATGCATATTAATTACAAACAAGAATGAATCTTCTCTAAGGCATATTATATAGAAATATACTACTCCAATTGATCCGAATAAAAAAATCAAATTTATTATCTATTATAAAAAATTTAAGACGGCCAACCTTATCCTCCAAAATAACAACACGCCAAGTCAAAATTACAAAGAACGAACATTGTCTATGAGTTCAAATGCCCCTTAAGGAACTGTGTTCCTGATCAAACCGGACTCATAAATAATTACATCGGCTACACAACCACATGCTTATCCAGACGTCTTACGTTACACCTATCTGATCACAGCTCCATTAGAACCCATTTAAACACACACACAGATTTACCCGATTCCATTAGGAAATAATAGTAAATATACACAAATATATTAACTGCATCCACCTGCAAAAAAAAGACTAAAAGTAATGGAAGCCTTAATAATAAAAAAGAAAAAGCCAACTCTTAACAATATTAACTACGAACAAAGCCACAATGTGCTAACCGTATTTGGAAATTAAAAACATCCCTACCACACACTGATACATACACAGAACGCACACACTCAATTAAGCTGAAAATCGAATCATCCTTGATAATGGCTAAAGGTAGAGCCGAAAGCATTTGGGCAGTTCTTACACATTGGTCATTACACACCCTTTGTCCAGAAAAGAAAGCTCTTGTCAGAACGCAAGAAAAATTAAATAAAAAGCTCAACCGTAGTAACTTGTCTGTCGTTTTAATGAAGCACGCATATATATATATATATATATATATATATATATATATATATATATATATATATATATATATATATATATATATAGTAGTTCGAGCTTTATATCAACAATATTCTTTATAACTAATTAATGCTGTTGTCGTTATCACATATATCCAAAGAGGAATTCTTTGAACGCAAAAGAAAAAAATATTTTTAATGTCCACCAGAGATCACAGAAAAGATACGGTGATTGTTTAAAAAAGGTTCCTCGTGTCCTTTGGGATTGACTGCCGCCATCGATAACAGAGTCTATTGAGAGAAACACTCTGTCCGAAGCAAACCGCTGAGTGACTGCAGAAGAAAAGAGGCAGCGCTATAAAATCTAGAGCTGTCTCCGCTTGCCAGAATTTCTCCTCCAACCGTTGCGGGTAAACCTGCTTCTCCCGCGTGGATCTTGAAAGCCACCGGCGGTATTTGCATGAGTTCTAGAAAAAACTTTGTTCCTGAAGCGAAGGCTTAATATAACAGAAAGACTATGGGATAGTCGATAAAGCGTTTGATTCAAATCGATTTTCTTGGAGGAGAAATGTAGAAAACCTCTGGTGAGAGAAAGATAGAGAATGTACGTGATTGTTAAAATTAGATAGATAGATAGATAGATAGATAGATAGATAGAGAGAGAGAGAGAGAGAGAGAGAGAGAGAGAGAGAGATTGGGAGAGGGGAGAGAGACAATAGGGAAGTAGTAACGAATATGTTGCGTGTGACATATAGAGTTCTAGGAGATGTAAGTTAGAAAAGGTTCAGAGAAAGGCGAGTAAGTAAAATATCTGGCAAGAAACAGATGGAGGATGCCAGTTGGTGAGTGACTGAGAGAGAGAGAGAGAGAGAGAGAGAGAGAGAAACGGACGATGGACTAAAAATCTGACGTGAGGTAAAAAATAGAGAGTGTGAGGGAATGTGGAAATTAAATTGAGAAAGAAAAAAAAGGAAGTAAAAATTCTGGCGAGAAAATAAAAGAAAAAAGAGAAAAAGAGACAGGAATGTAGTGAGAGAGAGGAATGTAGAGAGAGAGAGAGAGAGAGAGAGGAATGTAGATAGATAGATAGAGAGAGAGAGAGAGATGGGGAATGCAGATAGAGAGAAAAAGAAGGGAATTGATTGATTTGCTTTTTATCAAAACTTTGTGGGTTATTAAAAAGCCGAGACATATTTTGGATTGTAAAAATAATTCTTTTTTTTTTGCAAGTGAATATTGCATTAACAGTTTTTTTTTAGAATAACAATGCTTTTTCCACATACAAATCCTACTATTTAACCCATAACTGGTGGGAGGAGATTGATTCATAATTTTCCCAAGGGTATCTTGTGCGGAAGTGAATGTAACAAACTCGACTAGGATTCGAACCGATTTCACATTCCGAACCACTATTCATTATACCACCCGCATATATGCACGCAAACACATAAACATACAGAGAGAGAGAGAGAGAGAGGGGGGAGGGAGGGAGGGAGGGAGGGAGAGAGAGAGAAACATGGGGAAAAATAGAGGGGTAGAATAATCTGATTAGGGAAAGATAAAAAAAACGATAGAGTGTGTTGAAGTTAAATGAATGAAGGGGAGGGGAGAAAGAGAAAAGTAAAAATCTGCTGAAAGAAAGGTGGCGAGCGTGACGGAAATTAAATCGAAAGAGAAAAAAAAAGAGGAAAGGATTAAAAACTCAGCGAGGAGGAGGAGGAGGAGGAGGAGGATGCCAAGATATATTGAGCTTTAAGAGAAAAGGGTTGGACAACAGAGAAAGAGAAAATAGAGAAGTGGAGAATGAACAGTAGAAAATCAAAGAAAAGATGAAGAGTGTTAGAGAGACAAGGAGAAAATGGCGTAGAAGTTAACAGAAGGAAGAGAGAGAGAGGGAGAGAGAGAGGGGGGGGGAGAGAGAGAGAGGGGGAGAGAGGGAGGGGGAGGGAGAGTATGACGAAATCGAAAAGTGAATGAGAGCATGAGTGACAAATAAAGAGTGTATAAACGTTAGTGAGGGAACTGGTATTGAAAATAAATGATCAACAAGATTTGTTTGTTTCTTTAGCGGCATATCAAGTACTTATGGGTCATTCGATACCGAAATTTAATTTTCATTTAAAATCTTTTTCCAAAAATGCATTGCTGGTAAGTTTTTTACTATGAAAATGTATTTTTATACTTACATAGTGTTCGATCCCAGTTTTGGGTTTAACTATTTACCCATAGCTGGGACCATAACAAGTGCTACCACCCTGGGTAGCCGGGATCAACAGCAATTAAGAAGTGGTTCCATGCTCCTCAAAACCTCCCAATCAGAGGCCTTGCTGCCGGATGCAGTTTATCGTCATACCAAGGACGGGATCAACAAAAGTTTCAAAGGAAGCAAGTGCGTGCGAAGGAGTGAAACATACTATTTTATTTGAGATTAAGAAAAAGACAAGGAATGAACGAATGTAGAAATCAAGAGAGAGAGAGAGAGAGATAAGTGAAAAGTGAAAGAGCAATAAAGGAGAGTAAAGGAGAGTAAAGGAGAGACAAGGAGATAGATAGATAGATAGATAGATAGATAGATAGATAGATAGATAGATGGAGAGGGAAACAGATGAAGAATCTGCGTGAGAGAGATAGAGAAAGAGAACAAGTGTATATAAAACCACTGTACGCATGTCAGTGCGTCTCAGTGTTTTACACCTGTAATCACGCATCTTGTTTCGTTGTTGCGAGAATTTACAACAATATCAAAACTACAGTCAAAAACAAAAACAAAAACAAAATAAATAAATATTTAAAAATAAAATAATAAGTAAAGCCGTACATAAGTGAAAAAGAGAATAAAAACAACATGGGTGTCATTTTCTTTAAAAATAAGTGCGATGATGTCAATGGAGAGAATTTGTCAAGTAAAGGAAGCTATGGACCATGACAAGATGATGGAAGATGATGTTACTTTTGCTCTGCTTCTGATTAAATTATGGTACGATGTCGAGCAAAAATAGGGTCATTACGTAATGCGGCTTCAGACATACGAAGGTGAAATGTTAGTCACTCATTTTCTTTCTTTTTTTTTTTTTAGTTACGAGCAACACCAGCTTGGGAAAATATTATAAGATTTTCATTATTAGGTATGTATTTGTGTATGTCTAAATACACAAATACATACCTACGCAACTCATTATTTCGCCTTCGATCTGATGAAGCCTAATCAGCGAAATGTACAGACGGATGTTTTTGGAAACATACTTTCATGAACGTTTTGCCAATTATCATTAATTAATTAATATATATATATATATATATATATATATATATATATATATATATATATATATATATATATATATATATATACCGGGCTGCAACCTTTTATTCAAACATCTTTCATTAAATACGGTCGACAAGGAGGATTTAATTAAATTTTTTATTAAGTTTTTATAGCATCTTTACGTTATGTAGGAGTAAGGGAGTATAAAAATTTTCCAGAATTTTTATAATCCCAAGACCTTTCGGACACTTCTATAGCCATTTTCAAGGGTGTTTTGTCTCTGGTTTTGTTATTTATTTCTCATGTTTTGACTGTTCCATTGTAATTTCTTTTTGCGTTGTTTTGAATAGAAGCGTTCATTCTAAGCTTTCACTTGTGGTGCACGGCTGGAATTTGCGTGAACAGCTTTCCATTTTTTTTTTAAAGAAAATAACTTTTAACATTCCATTTCCACTGTTAAATAATGAGAGGTTGATAGTATGAGAGAAATGTTTAATATACAGGCTCTAATAGCGAGATGTTTTTGATAATGGGATATATATAGAATTCTAGTGTTTTGATCAGAATTTTTCTCAAATTATGGGTTGATAGATGCGTCTTTATAACACTTTGGTCTGATATATATATATATATATTAATCATTTCACACACACACACACACACACACACACACACACACACACACACACACATATATATATATATATATATATATATATATATATATAATCATTTCATCTCAAACGATGCGATAATGCCACTAATACACCAGGGGTTACTGAGAGCGAAAGAGAATGAGAAGGCTTTAGTGAGGAGAAAGGGCAATAAAAGAACAGTATTTAGGAAGGCTGAAGATGATTGACGCTGCATTTAAATTTTTCGAGATCGTAAGTGGTAGGGTGCAAGAAATCAGAAGAGAGTTCAAAAGGCGAGAATTGCGAGAAAAAATATTAGAACAGAACTTACGGTTACATCTTTCTATTTATACAGTAAAAAGATGAGACCTAATTACTAATCTAGTAGTAAGCTTAAATTTATGCGGTCGAGGTACCAAGAAGGAAAGCACACTAGAAAAATTTCCATGAAAAGACAGAGGGAAGCCACATTAGGTCAGAACCAATCACATTGCCGACCCTTCTTTGGATTTTTCTCGAGATATAAAAATTAAAACCCCTTGAAGAACGATTCTGATTTTTACTCGGTTGAGTTTGTGCAAGCAGATATTCTGACAAAACTTTAAAATTTTTCAGACATTTTGTGATGGAGGAACATTCATATAAAAAAATCCGACTCTATTGTGCAGTCACACTTTTCGAAAGAACTAATAAGAACGGTGGGCACCAATATAAATTCATCACGTGATCTATCGCCTTAGATATAGCAAAAGCCTCTGACAAGCCGTAGTACACAAACTCTCCAACTATAAAATCTCTGGGAAACTTTTCTCACTTATCAAATCCTTCCTAACAGATAGGTCCATGAAGACCGTTGTTAATGGCCAGACTTCTGAAGCCCATATGATCAATGCAGGCATTCCTCAAAGATCGCTTTTCGGCCATATCTTCTTTCTGTTTTATATTAATGATCTACTTAAAAACACACTTAGTTCTTAAGTGAATATCTATGCAGATGATACAACAGTGTGCATGCGTATACCTCCCAAAATCTAAATGACCAAAGTCTGACAGCTGATCTCTGCTCCGAACTAGCTCTAACAGCTCAATGGGGTAATAAATGGTTTAAAGCATTCAATACCTCAATAATCAAACTAGTAACGTTCCAACATCACTGAGGAGAACTGGAATGGTTGCTTTCTGAAAGAGGCTCCGTGCCTTGAAGGCTATTGGGACTATCTATCGCCAAAGATGCTGGGAAAATGGTCAGTTCTTTTTATTAATTAATGTAATTGATAGTTGTGATTTTATTTATTATAAATGCGTATGAAACGCACTCCATTATACTCAATTTAAAAATTAACGTTAAGAATATGTAAGGGAGGTAACTTAATTTATATTTTTTATTATTAATGTTGAAAAATGCTCAACCTGCAATTTAAAAAAAAATTACAATTTGAGTATTACAAGACATTGCTTTATAAACACTCTAAAACATTGTTGCTATTCCCATAATCTTATTTAGAGTTGGTTCATTTTTTATAGGGTGCTTCAAAAATTTGAAGTTTTTGTTTTTTATTTTCATGGTAGAGTATACTTGTATTGCCAATTTGTATTTCCTTAAAACGTGAATGTGGACAGAAATGTTCTTTTAAATGTTCTGCAATAGAACTTAAATGGCATGGGGTGTGTTTTGTAGGTCCCCCTAGAGAGGATGTGGTATTATGGTGCATGGAGGATTGATTGGTGATGGACGAGTTCTTGTGGTGAACGGTTAAATTGTAATGAGTGAATGGGTCGTGAATCGGATTAGCTAGGTATAAGATAGTTAGTGTGGACCAACCTTAACCCCTCCCCCTTTTCGGCCTTGTGCCACAATTATGTAATTTTTACATAATAAATATCTAGAACTTGAATCCGACATATGTAATATAAGCTTTCTTGATAATATTGTCATCGTAAAACCAACACACACACACACACACACACACACACACACACACACACACACACACACACACACACACACACACACACATATATATATATAATTCTGCATTTGGCCAGCAATTTCTTTTTATACAAGTTTCATTAAAAACACAACGTACTGCAATTAAGATTTTTATTTATTTTTCTTGTGTTCGTATACGTGTTTTCTGTTTCAGACATAAAGTGTTTAAAATTGTCTAAATGTTCTGCATATGCGAGCGCTTTCGGCTATTCTTTTAGTCATTATCAAGGATAATTTTTATTTTATTTCTAACTGAATGTATGGATTTTTTGATGTATGCATCTAGAGTTATAGGAATGTTTTTTTAATTTTCCAAATACAGTCAGCACATTGTGGCCGTGTTCATGGCTGATGTTATTGATTGTTGTTTTTTTTATTTTTTATTATTAGTACTTCCATTATTTTTAGTCATTTTTACATATGAACGAGGCTATTATGCTTGTATTTTCTCCAAGTATTTTGCGGATGGAATTTGGTAGATTTTCGTGTGTGTTTAAATGAATCCTAATTTAGCTATGCTTAGAAATCAAAACATTCCTATAACTCATAGGATGCATGCATAAAATATCCATACATTCAATTATAAATCAAAATCAAAATACTCCTTGATAATGGCTAAAAGAATAGTCGAAAGCTAGATAGATCATTTCGACAATTTTTGCACACTTTATGTCCAGAAAAGAAAAAAAAAATTATGAACACAAAAAAAAAAAAAAAATAAATACACTATTTACATTATTCGGACTATTGTCCTCATCTTTGTTGCCATATTTATCAAAACGTTTCGGCCGTTGTACACTCCGGCCTTCTTCAGGTGGTTGGAATGTCAAACTGAACCCATTATTTCGCTCGCTGGGGTAGACTGTTCTAATTCCACGTGCCATGTCTAATGGGTGTCAATTTCCTGTTAATTCCCCTCTCCAAGTTCTCCATTGCCTTAACCAGGTATTGAACTCACAACTCTTTGGGTCCTGTCACGTACAACGGCCGAAACATTGTGATAAATATGGCGACAAAGATGAGGACAATAGTTCGAATAATGTAAATAGTGTACATAATACCTAATCTCAGAAATATAGACAGATAAAAAAAATTACATAAAAATTTCTCTATTCGGAACGAGGTTCGCACAATGCTGAAGGTACTGGCACGTATCTTTGATATCATCGTCTATCTGTTTTTGACAGTCACTTATATAATAATTCTACTCAATTCTGCCATTAAGGTCATTGCCCCAATGCTTTTGTTTCTTGTTAAGTTAAAATAATCACTTCACAATCAATCCACTGTTCTCTTTTTGTCTCTTTATTTACGTCACCCATTTCTACTAATGTTGAATTCAATAGATAACTTTTAAACTCTCCAACAATTTCAACGAGGTTTCTTTTGTTCGTTTGATGACGTAAAAATCCTTCGTCGAATCTAAATTATTCTAAATTGTTAATATCGCTTTCCACGTGACGGCCTAATTTCTAGAAATCTATGAATTTATTATTCGCTTTATTTATTATTCAAATTTTGTTTCATTATTCTCCTCAAAACTGCTTATGCATTTACATACCGCCTTTCTAAACCCAAATATTTTGAAATATTTGGGTTTAGAAAGGCGATATGTAAATGCATAAGCAGTTTTGAGGAGAATACAAAATAATAGCGAAATCAATTTTTTAATTCAATATATTTCTCTTTAAACGGATCTATCTATCTATCTATCTATCTATCTATCTATCTATCTTAAGCCCTATTTTTCCTTTATATGATCTGCAATATCTCTCTACT